CCCCCCCCCCCCAAGTTTTAAACTGTTTCCTGTTCAATTTTTAAAAGAGGCTTGTGTCCTTTTAAGTGCTGCTAAATCAAATTATTTCACTTGGGCCTAGGTGCCTCTTGTGTATTACTTTGACAGAATGAGGTTTGTTTAATGATCATAGCATTAAAGATTCTTACTCCGAAGAGATACATATAACACACTTCAGGGGCTCTCTGTAAAAAACAAGAAATGATGGAAGATTTCTTAAAAATATAAAACACACTAACAAGCAGTTGTTTTGGCATATGCCTTACTATGCTGCCATCAGACTAATAGGTTTTCCCAAGGATAGTTGCTCTTTATTCGCCTTGTACTCAATCCTGAAATCTATGCAAATCAGAACCTCAACTGTCATCAGTCATGCAGGCTCAGGGTCTGTAACAGAAGGGTAACTAACCCACCTCAATAAGAAAAGCCATCTTCCCAATATTTAAATTTGTGCGGTCAAGATATTTTGTAAAAACAAAGGCCCGATACTCCATTACCCTGCAACTTGTATTGCGATTTACATCAATGTGCAGTGGGCGTAAAAGGTTACTATGACTTTGTGCTCCAGACCCCCGCACTTTTATTCATCACAATCATATAATTACAACATGTTTTGTACAAAGTAAGCCTTGTGAACTATCATTCTAAGTGTTGATCTGTTGAACACTAATATCCTGTTGGATTGTATGTGCTATCATTGTATGGGAAGTTATGAAATCTTGCTAAGTGTAAGTTACTAAAGTATCACGTGTAGATGCTGGAAATGCCCAAACCCACCCATCCAGGTACAGCAATGGAATAAGCAGATCCTAATACTATCAAGAGAAAAATCCATGAGCACAGGAACTCTGTACAAGGAAGTTTCCTTAGAGAGCATATGTAGGTAGGCAATGAAGAACATTTGGCCATTGAAGGACCCCCGACCTACACACACATGCACTGACTTTCCAGCAAGCTGGAAGAACCTATGAAAGATGGGGAGTGACATCAAGATTTATCTTCACTACCCACAACTCAGTGCCCAAAAGAATCTCTGAAAGACAAAGCACTTTGAATGGCAGAGGGGAACCCACGCTGCAAGCAAATGCAGCTTATGCCTCAAGAATCTGTAAGGCTGCTTATATCATCAGGCAGGGTGAGATATAGGATTTGGATCCGTAATCTAGTTTGTAGAGGACAGACTTCAGTTTTGTTTGATTTCTTAGGTAACCTGCCTTGATCTGTTTGTGATAACTACAGATAGATTTTAAATTAACTTGTTTTTTGTGTTTTATCTTAAGTAATGTGTTTTTGAGTAAAGTGTTTGGAATATCTCAGCTCGGTTAAGAAAGGCTTGTGCATATCTCCTCCACAACAAGAAGGGAGCAGACTATTTAATGAGCTTACATAGTACAGATCCCTGTGCAGTGCATGCTGGTATAATTCTGGGTTTATAGTCCAATAGGGGATCCAGACTAGGGAGCTGGGAAATTGGCTGGTGCCTTTATTGTTGGTCAATGAGTGGCTTCAGTAAAGCAACGAAGTGATTCAGCTGGGTGTTTGGTGCTAACAGCTGTTGTGGTGGGTAATAACAGCACCTAGAGAGGCTGGCTGGCTATCAGTAGAGCAGTATGAGGGGGTCAACTTAGCTAAACTGTTAGGGGGCAAATGTAGTGTGAGCCATAGGTGGGCTTCCAGGGGTTAAATTTGTGCTCCTCTAGGCCAGCCTTGAGGACTGCTAGCAAAAAACATCGGGTATTCTTTATCAGATGGCCTTCACCAGCATGAACTCCCCTTGCTTGCTATCTGAGAACCTTGTATGGGATACATAACATGACCTCAGCTCTAAGCCCCATGGGAACACAGAGTGGCACTGGGCCAACTCGCACTCACTCGGCAAACAGCTGGAGTATAAGACCTGCTCAGGGTCCTGCCTCTCTGGGAGTTCCACCAGAAACCCTTTACCTCGGAAGATGCCCTGGGTCCCCCAGCTGGAGCCACGTCCACTGTGGCCTGGTTCAAGGTGACTGGAACGGAACACCCTGCAGACCTGAAGGGGCGTAAGCATTTCCAAGTGCTTGTTGCTCATTTATATGCATTGCTTTGCCTATGTTAATTATTTGGATTAGTTTGCAGTAGTTGTGTATTTGGCAGTATTAAGCCTATAATGGTAGTGAGGTAGCAAGATTTGTATTTTGTAGTAGCTGTGTAGCCATTTGGCAGTATTAAGTCTGTCTTCGTAGTGAGATTAATAAAAGCAACTATCTATCCCCAATTGACTCTGTCTTGAAGTGAATCCACAACCCTGTTGGTCCCTGGCCCTGTAACTTGACAGCATAGAGGTTCCAACATTTGCTCCCTGGGATTACAAACCGTCACTGCTATCCAATCATAACAGCAGCATTTTACATTTCCTGTATGCTGTGTAAATGACAACACAAAGGTACTGGAGAATGGAGAGTCAGGACCAGGGTTTTACAAAATCTGCCATCAATGTGTTACCACGTATAAGTTCAACATCCCTATGGAATGCTTGCACCCAAAACAGGGCAGAGTGAGGCTAGCACAAGACTGCCAGAAAATGATGTTGGATCATTTTTTATGGCAACTGTCAAGATGTGGGAGGTACTATCTGTACAAAATGGAGTCGTACACCTTGTAATGATAATCTTAAAAGCTAAAGAATAGCAAATAGAACAACAGGTAGAGACAATAGATACATCATAAAAGTTAAGTGGTTAAAATGAAGACTAACCACATTTTATAAGAGTATTTTATTAGTTTAAAACTATATTCATAAACAAGCAGAGATATACAAATATATGTACAGTAGATGGACATGTCCATATTATGGGGGAGTGATTGCAACTCCATGGCAAAGGTTCAGCTCAGATTTGTATTTGAGGCCCCCAATCTGGCACAATAATGCTCCAGAGAATACTTGACCCATTTAAGTCACATGCTCCAAACCCATTCAAGTTAAACTTTTGGTTTTGTTATTAATATTCATTTTCATGATAATTTGTTACTTTTAATTGAACAAAAGTAATAAAAAACAAATCTTTTGTAAAAAGGAAAGTTTCAATTTATAATTGGGATGGCTTTAATGCCTAGGAACATGAGGATCCCAAAAAAGGCTATTTATTTAGTTTTCCTGGAAACTTCTGAAATATTGACAATAGAGCCAGCCAAAAATGTTCTGATGGAACAATTTTTATTGGGAAAACGCTGATTCAATTGAATTAAAATGTTCCATAGGAAGTCAGGCAGCATGGCTGCTCAGGTTTCTTTCCATTTAATATTTGAAATACCACCAATTATAAATTTGATTATACCAGTTACCAAATTACTAAACCAAATATTGATTATCCATTTGAACAACAATTAGAAATGACCAGTTAGAATACCAACTGAGGAAACTAAATATCAGTTATTACCAAACTAATTAGAAAACCAATCACCAACCAACAATTACTAATTAAAAGACTGATCATGTGTTTTATAGACCCTATACTGTATCAGCCTAAAGAGTTAATGGGGAAACTGACTACTTACTTAGCTGGGGGTGATTGAGAGGCAGCTGCAGAGATAAAAACACTGCAGACCAGAGGAGTGGGGTAGTTGTAATGAGGCAGAGGAAACAAAGAGAGCAAGTGTCATTGGTGACAGGAAACCTGCTCTGGAAACTGGGTGACCACAGAGTGTAACTCAAAGCCATGGTAGTAAGTTGCACATAGAAACAGTAAGAGGCTGGGAAAGCTTGGAGCTAGACACTTTGTACAAGGTTCTTGGCCTAGAACCCAAGAGAGAAGACAGGCCTGGATTCCCCTACCAAGCACCACAAAGTAGCTTATTAAGTAGGGCTATTAAGAAGCGGATATTTCATGAATTGTGTAAATCGATAAAAATTCTGTCGGCTACACGATTAATAGATAAGGGAAAGCACTCAGTCCCGGCTCATGCTGGGTCCAAGAGCTACCCTCGCTGCAGCTCTGCAGTTTAAATGTAGGAAGAGCCAGATGGGCAGGCAGCCCGGCTCCTACTACATTTAAACTACAGAGCCGTAGACCTGGCATAAGCCGGGACCTGGTGGCTCCTGGACCTGGCATAAGCCGGGACTGAGCCAGGCTTGCTCAGGCCCGGCTCATGCTGGCTCCAGCAGCCTCACCTCACCCCCTGCATTGCTGCCTCTGATAGATGCGGGGAGGGGGGGAAGGGGTGTGTGTGTGTGTGTGTGTGTGTGTGTGTGTGTGTGTGTGTGTGTGTGTGTGCGCGCGCGCGCGCGCGCGCACACAGCACACTGGAGATGGTGTTGGGAGAAACTGGCTTTTAAGCAACAACACCGGCTCCTGCTTCCTGCAGATAAGAATTTTGAGTTTTGACCAGTTGCAGATGACAAGTACATGGACTGCCAGTCTAGCAACATTCAGTTTTTAAGAGTAAATATACTCATCCCTACCTTTCCTTGTCCCCACTGAATTATTCCTTCCAAATGTGTTTTTCTGAGCCATGGAAACAGTCAGTTTACTAAGGCTGATGCAAGTTGGTATTCTGCTGAAAATTTACAACTAACTACAAACAGGTCCTTACATATAGTTGTACCTATTTAAAGGAAGCATTAAAAGCATTTTTCAAGTGAAATATTTCTGATACTGCATACTTTACCCGTTATGTCATGCTGTTTGAATGACTCACTGTAGATTTGATACTGATTAGGGCAGTGTTTCTTCAACCACTTGCAGACATCCTGCTGAGTCCACAGAGCTACTGGTTTTGTCAGTTTCACAGTACCAGACTGGAAAGACAGAACAAGAAAAGAAATGATATTTAGACCTAGGTATCAGATTTGTTTCTACTGTAATACATATTATGTAACAAAATTATTCCATTTGGAAGCCTTCATTAATGACCAAAGTGCAAGATCAAAGATCAATTCTTCATGCTTACGTGCATGGATCATATCTGGTGCAAGATTGTCTGCACGTTCCTTGTATCGTACAGGCATTACACTTTCTTATCAAGTCAGTCCAACTTGTATAAAGGATTAAGTCAGAAAGGGCCACATTCTGCCACTTTTCCATACTGATCACATGAAAAGTCCGCTTTTACCCATACATATAACATTTACCTAGAGCTGTAACTATTCAGGTACTTTTTTTAAAATGATGAATATATACTAATATATAAACTTTGATATGAAATACTTAATACAAAATAATTCAATTTGCACTAAGATGAAAAGTCACAATTGCAATTTTCACAGAATCTGGCCAAAGCCCTTAATTTTCCCAGGATCCTACTGTTGACAGAAGACAACTTGTTACAGAGAATGTCAAGATGTTACAAGTCCTGGCTCTCTTTTTCCCATGCCCACTCTGCATTGAGTATGCCTCTTTGCTTAGCTTATGCTCTAGATTACAATGCCAAGGTCGTTGCCCTACACTGGAACAGAAAGGGTTAAACACAGCCCTGGGAGAGGGCTATCCCAGAAGCTATTTGGGAGAGGAAATGCAGCAGTCAATCAGGGCCACTGGGCTATATAAAAGGGCTGTTAGCCTGAGGGAGACTGGTCTCCATAGCT